TCAGGGATGTGGGTGAGAAGTTGAGGGAGCCTTCTGTCTTCTCTGAATCCAGGCCATATGTTTAGAGCCTTTCTCCAAATTCATTTGATGGGGGGCGGCGGGGTGGGGGAGACGGGTAATGATTGTCTGTTGTTGTAATTTCTGGTTGTTGATGGTGGTCGTAACACAGACAGGGAGGAAATAGTTTGCTACCCTTCGGGTGTCCTTGTAATTTCATCGTGAACCAAAACCCTTATACCAGAGATATCTCACAGTGCAGAAGACCATGTTACCGTTTGATGGGGTCAGACTTCTGGGGGCTGAAACCCCCAGAAGCCTGGAGAATGTCTCCTCTAGATAGCTGAGTAGTCAGACTCCAGCTTTTCCTCCACCAATGGCTTCCAGGTTTCAAAAAGAAGCTTTTCAGAGGGGAAAGAAATTGACACACAGGAGACATTACGTAATAGGTTAATCAAAGTCCCATAATGTCATAGAGTGTCTCTCAATGACACCATGTCCCAGTGGCTGGGCTTTCATCCCAGCATAGAACATCTGTTGCATCCTTTACCCCTAAAATGAAGTCCTCTCAGGGAGCCTGGGTGGCTCAGTCCGTTGAGGGTCTGAATTTGACCTCAGCTCAGATCTTGCTCTCAGGGTTGTGAGTTCAAGCCCCGTGTTGGGCTCCATGCCGGGCCTGGAGCCTACTTAAAAAAAATAAAAAAATAATAATAATAACATAAAAAGAAGTCCTCTCAAAAGGCTGCTGCTTCTAGTATGCAGTTGCTCTACTAATGGCCTCCTCCTTCTAAAGCAAATTCAGTTGGCCTGCAGACCTTACCCACAGTTGCAGAAATATCTCTAGCTCTGTCTGTTCTCCGTGGAGTAGGAGGCATTCTCCCACCCCCCACCCTCGCTCTGTGCCTTCCCTCAGAGACGGAGCGACTCGGTACCTCAGACCCCGTCCCAGCCTAAAGGAACTTCCAGAAGCTTACTCCACAAAGAAGGGAGAGCAAGGAATGTTGCTCTTCTTCAAATGCTTACATTTGACTGCAAGCTTCTCCTGTCAGGCAGAAAATCAGTCTCAGTCGCTCCTGGGGTTCCCCACTGCACACACAAAATGTTGGGCAAAGGTGTTTGGGTTCTTACATGAAGCAAATATTTGCGGAGGGCTTGGGAAGTTTTGCCCTTCCTCTTAACTGATAAGTAGTCTATCATCCAAGCCTCTGCGGTCTCCTGACTTATCTAGTGAGTCTGCTGATTCTGTGTCAATTTAGGGGCATAAAAACTTGTGCCAAGGGTGATAAATGGGGGGCTACGGTCTCCATTTCCTGGGGATCCCACAGAGCTAATCTCTGCTTCTGCCCTTTCTGAAGGTTCTGCTAAGGGGAGTGCAACGGGGGTCCCCAGCACACTGTCCTTCAGTCCTCTCCTTCCCACTTGCAGGTGATCTCTTCTCCTTTCCTGATTCTTGTCCTTTCTCTGCCCTTCAGGAATACCCATTAGAACCACCTTCCTGAATTAATGCCTGAGCTAACTGAAGTGTGATTGGAAGAAGTTTTGGTTGGCTCCTGTAGTGCTGTTGCTGTTGTTTGTTTGTTTTTTAGCTGAAATTAATAACCAGCATTTATTGTTTTTAAAGATTTTATTTATTTATTTGAGACAGAGAGAAAAAGAGAACAAGCAGTACAGACTCCCTGCTGAGCGGGAAGGCAGACTCCATCCAGGCATCCTGAGATCATGACCCGAGCCGAAATCAAGAGTCAGACAACAGGTGCCCCAATAACTGGCGTTTAAAAATCAGATGAGGGAGGCACCTGGGTGGCTCCATTGGTTAAGTGTCTGACTCTTGATTTCTATCATTCTAGCTTCTTATGGAAATTTAGAAAGCCTAGCTTTTATTACCTGGCCATAAGCAGCTGGGCTGGGAAGGGCTGCTCTTTGGGCAGGCACCAGGCTCTGCTTCTGTGCACCTGACACTGGTTACTAACACCTGCCTGACCTGAACGGGTGTGTGACTTTGGAGCGCCCTGCTGTGGCCTTTCCCAAGAGCCAGGGAGAGAAACTGTTTCAGGACTACATCACCCTTAGAACATAAATATAGGCCAAACTGAGGGAATATAAAAAAGCTAGTTTTCTTTGCAGGAGCAGAAGAAAAAAAAAAAATGACACAATGATAGATCTGTCCAAATCAACAATCAAAATGGCTGCCGCGTTCAGAGATTTCATCATGGCTGGGGCCTCTCCCTGAAGTAACGCCAATGAATCTTCACGAACACCTATTATCCCTGTTTTACAGAAGGGAAAACTGAGGTTCAGAGAGAACAGATGTGGCCAGGTCACAAAGTGGAACTTGGGACACAGGTCGGTAAGGCTCTTCACTACTGGGCTACCCTGCCTCTCTTGCCATAGACATTAGTGACCCTTCTTCAGGGGAGTAAGGGCACCCAAATTCATTGCCAGGTTTAATGATATCAGATGCTGGGTTGGAAGTCAAGTCATGCGGATGCTGAGTGAGTAGAAGTTACTGCCTCCACTCTCCCTCCCTCTGCCTGAAGGAGGGACGTCAGGGTCTGGAAGGTCAGGGCCTGGCCCATGCTCTTAGACATCACAGGTGTTCAGTTACTGTGCTCATGTTGTTACTTCTGGTAGCTTGTCTGAAATTGTAATAAGTGCATGTGTGTGTGTGAGTGTGTATGCGCGTGTGTTTGTGTGGTGAGAAGGGGGAAGAAGAGGGCACGGACAGAGGCAGGGCTCCTGATCTTTCCTGTCTTGGGCCATAAATGTTGCTGGAAAGAGTCCAGATGAAAGGAACTGTATGAAAATTTTACTATGTGAAAGAGTTTCTTGGTTAATTTTCATGGTTTGTCAGAGTTTTCTTTTCTGATTTGAGATTATTTTCGGACATTCAGTGATGGTTTACAATCTAGCTTTTCAGCCTGAAATATCCTAAAACAAAACAATGAGACATCTTGATGGCCATTTCCTAGTTCCTGTACATCTAGTAACTTAAGGTCTGTTACTGTTCATGTAAAAAGATAATAACTGAATGCCATTTGCTACGCTTAAGTCCTGAACTAAGAAATTACGTATACTACTATTGTATAGCGGAAATTTAAGCTCAGAGGGGTAGAGTGACTTGCCTAAGGTCACCTAACATATAAATAGTAGATTTAGGTCCCAAACTCTGATTTCCAGAATCATTCTTTGCTTTGGAGATTGGCTCCTTTTGTCTAGGGTTTAAGCTAAATAGTGTTTTACACCATAATAAGCTTGAATTTGGCTCACTGTTGTTGACCTGTTTGCTGATCTCAAGTATTGTCAAACTGGACTGGACATCTTCATTAGACTGCTCAACAGGTGAGGTGTTCAATAATAACATTGTTCTTGTATCGACAAAATTTAGACTGTGGTAAACTCCACAGGGTACATGACCAATTACTTTAATGAAGAGTGTCGAGGGAGAAAAAAATGGAACTGAGTACCTCTACATGAAAAGACACAAAAGACAGATCAACCAAATACACTGTGTTTTGGAACCTCTTCGAATCCTGATTTGAACGAAGCAACTGAAAAGTAATTATTAGATCATCAGGGAAATTTGAAGAGTGTGCACTTAAAGGTTTTGAGGATTTTTTTAAAATTTTTTATGTAATTGAGGTTGAGATCAGTAGGCAGAGGCTTAGCCCACTGAGCCACCCAGGTGCCCATAGAGGTACATATTTAAAGAGATGAGTTGATACGATGTTAAGGACTTCCTCCAAATTAACGGAGCAGATGAAGATGGGTCTTCAATCGTAATTGTTGAAGCCATGTTTTGGGTATTTGCTGGTTCACTGTATCATTCCATCTACTTTTGAATCTGTTTGACATCTTACACAAAAGAATGCATTGTTCAACTATGAACCCAAAGTAGATCGTTACTTTGGTATTATATTGCATAATGCCTCATTTCAGGGAGCTCGAAAGGGGATGGAAAGGGTCTTCTTCGAAGTCGTCTAACCCAAAGTGCATATTCTTCTCCTCTCCTTTTAGGCCCACCCAATGGGGGTGGGGTGGGGATTGTTTTTTCCTCTTTACTCACCCCCTCCACCCCACACCTGGTTCAGTTTCAAGCTTATAACCTCCAGAGGATTCCTAATCGGTCGTAAAATAAAGCCTGAAGGTTTCGGTGCGGGGAGGGGCGGGGGGGGGGAATATGCTTTGTTTAATTTGGGTCTTGATCGTGCTAATTAGTTACCCTCTCGTCAGGGGGCCGTACAACCTATACTTTTAATGTCCCTGCCCACGTGACAATGTTTTTGTTTCAGGGTAATTTCTAAAGTACAGGAAATTCTCGGAGAGTTTACGTCACCGCCAGCAGTTACAGTAATTACCGTATTGACGCTACTTGTTTTCCAAAACGTGAACGTTTGCGGGGCGGTGCGCGTCCTAGTTAGGGATTTTTCAGTTCAGACTTAATTTTAAGCAGTCGTGACGCTGGGAATGTGAACGGAGGGGGGTGGGTGGGTGTGTGTGTGCACGCGCGCGAGTTCTCCTTCTCCACTGCTGTATTTCCCAGCTTGCGTCTGGGGGTGAAAAAACAGAGAATACACCACATTCACACTCCTCGTAGGCGCACTGCAGGAAGCGTCGGCTGCAGTAGTGCGCCTGCGCAGTCCGTCCCGCCAAAGCTCCCGCCTTCCCCCGTCCCGCTAGCAGGGGGCGCTGTGAGGCAATGGCCGCGTCTTCTGCCTAGGGCTCTGGAACATAGCATAAAAGGGCAGGAGGCGAAGCGAAAGGAGGGGCGTTCTATCCGCGACTGCCCTGGTCTCTATCACCCTTTGTCCTCCCAGCTTTCCCCCGGCCCTGGGCCTGCGGGCCTGGTTGCTAGGCGGAAGCGGGGCGCGGCGGATGCCGCGGCGGCTGCCCGGGCGTTTGAAAAGCTGAAACGCAGGCGGCAAAAGGTTTTCCGGCGGCGGGCTCGCCTCTCCCTGCGGACGGGCCGGGTGGCCGAGCAACCTTTGCCTTTGCTTTCAGTCGGGGCAGGGCGAGGGCTGGGCTGGCGGCCCGGGGCCGGGTTGCCCGGCGCGCTGCAGGCGGCGGCAGGCCCGGGCCGCGGAGCGGGGTCCCGAGGTCGGGAGCCCCGGGCGGGCGGTGGGAGCCCCGCCGGGAGCCCTGCTGGTGGTCGCGGGCCTGCCGCATCTCACCCGGGTCCTTCTTCCCCCAAGCAGACCCCGCCTGCGGGTCGCGCAGCGCGACCATGGTCTCCAAGTCCGACCAACTGCTCATCGTCGTGTCCATCCTAGAAGGTGAGCGGCGCGGGGCTTGTTTCTGCTGCTGCTGCTTGCTGAGCTGTAACAGTGGCGTGCGACCGAGGCTTGGTTACCCTTAAGAATCATTGCTTTTGCTCTCCCCCCCCACCCCCGGACGTGTTCACAGATGGAGCTAGTCAGGTCTGTTAGGCGATTGATTTAAAAACCTCCCCAAGGGAGCATGAGAGCTATTAGGGATAGGTGGTATTTAGCGTGAGGAGCCGGAGCCCCAGAGAATGTAGGAAAAACGATTTCCATCAGAAGCAGCTTGTCGATGACTTTTATATGTGAGCTGAGTGTGCCTGCAAAGCACGTTCTGTTCAGCGGCCTCCCGGTGACACTGTTCGCACATTTGTGAGAACTTGGCTTCGGGTCGCGGACAGATTTCCTGCGGTCTGAAGTACTGTGGGAGGCCATTCCCTTTACAAGTCTTGGTAGGGGACTTAGGAGACTGGAGTTGTCAAGACGGTCCACCGGACGTGCCTTGAAGTTCTGTTGGTTAGATAAGTGGCATTTGTTCATCGGAGGCTCTCTGAGTGTCAGGCACTGTGCTGGGAATGGAAGGAAGCAAGATCCCTAGTCCTAAAAACTCAGGGGATAGCATGGAGAAATGTGTGTAATTCCTCAGGGCGTGGAAGAAGGAAAGACAAGCTCTGGGGACGATTTCCCAGCAGAGGTGACATTGATTTGGGTCTTAAGGGATGATGAGGTCTGCCTCAAGGAAAAAAAATGGAAGGGAGGGCTTTCCATACAAAGAGAAGAGCAAAGAGAACTTAAGGTATGGAAAAGCAAGGCATATTCTGCAAGTGCTTAAATTTCCTGTAGTTGGAGAGTAGGTGGCAGAAAGTGGGGGGCATAGAATTTGGTAGGGAGAGTGAGGACAAGTTACGCGTATTGTGACAACAGTCGTCTTGAGTGGGCCAGAGGAATGGCTGGTCGTTTTTTGTTTTTTGTTTTTTGTTTTAAACCACTAGTGCAGGTATTTCGTGAGGCCTACCACTGTTGAGGGGATGAGAGGGAATGAGTTGTAATAAGTTGTGAGACAGAAGGCTGACCAGAGACTGTAAAGTGCTGGGACCTTTTTAACTGTTCCATTACTCATTGTTAAAAGACAGAGGATTGAATTCCCCTTGTAATTTGGTTAATAAAAGCTTTTGGACTTGGTTCTTGCTCCCTGTAGCATGGCAGCAAACCAAAAATAAAAGGCACTCTCTTGTCCTTTCCAACTTGCAGGCTTCTGTCTTCTTGGGGAGATCAGATTCATCTGCAGGGCACCGTATGTTGGAATGCTTTCTAATATTAAAAATACTGGATGTGGGCCATAAACATAGGTTTTGGGGGTGAGTGGGGATGATGGCTTCAGCACTGAGAACGGTTAAGTAAGGATGGAAGAAAGTCCTTGCTGGTGGTTGGATAACCCAGGCCGATGATGGAGCAAGTGTGGTAGATAGAATGGTGGAGAGGCCTTCAGGATGCCCAGGGTCAAGGGAGGTGAACACTGAGGAATATTCTGGTAAAATAAGCTTGCGTAAGTGGAGTGAATAGACCTTGGAGGATTTTGGAAGCCAAGGAGTTTAGATGGAATGTTCTAAAAAAGAGCCCACCCATAATGCTAAACAGGAGAGCATCATTTGCAAATTTCATAGGGGCTGTGCAGGGAAGGGACCCTGGCTTTAGGGAAGTCAGTTAGGTGTTGCCACAAATATGGCTGACCCTGGAGGGTGGGCTTCCCTGCAGACTGTCTCCTTTTGTTTGTGTTTCCATGCATCCTCTCCATGTTGTTGCCTCAAGTCCAGAACCGGAGAGTCCTCACCTGCCTGGGTTCCTTCTCCATCTGCACCTTCCAAATGGTCCCCAAGTTTTGTTGGCTTTATTTTTAGAATAATACTAGGGGCTTCATGTAAACGTCTGAATGAAAATTTTTCCACTTTGCGCTCTGTTGAGGCCCTAGTAGTTATCTTTTCAGTAGTCTGTTTGGTGAATGGTTTTTTTGTTTTTGTTTTTGTTTTTTGTTTTTTGTTTTTTTTTCCTTTTCAGAGAACCTCCACTGCTCACATTACTCTCTAGGGTGATTTTTTGAAATGCAAATCTAATTGTCTTAAAATCCTTCAGTGTCCTAAAGGATAATGTCTGTACTTTTTAGAACAGGATTCATGGCCTTTTATGACACACTGCTTGCCTGCCTTTCAGTTTGCTCTCCTCTCCTGCCCTGTTCCCAGCTCTTCAGTTATATTGAGCTACCCACAGTTTCTTGACTGCACCTCTAGAAATGCCCTATATTCAAAAGAAAATGAGATTTCTACCATGAGCAAAACTGGGGCTATGTACTGGATGCTAAGAATGAAAAAGACAAGGTTTCTGTTCTCTAAGTATTGTCTTTGGAAGGAGGTAGGTACTGGTTCCTTCTAGTACATATTCTCTGTTGTCAGCCCAGTTGGAACTTATAGTTAGGGTAGAGGGACTGAAAATAAAGGTTTTTGTTGTTTTGTTTCTCTTTTTTGTTTTTTTTTTTAAAGATTTTATTTGTTTATTTGACAGAGATCACAAGTAGGCAGAGAGAGAGGAAGGGAAGCAGGCTCCCCGCTGAGCAGAGCGCCCGATTCGGAACTCGATCCCAGGACCCTGAGATCATTACCCGAGCTGAAGGCAGAGGCTTTAACCCACTGAGCCACCCAGGCATCCCTGTTTTTGCTTTTGATACCGATGAATTTCATTTGGGGAAGGTGGTGATCTTTTAGAGCAGCTCAAAATGATGTCCAGAGAGCGGCCTCTGTGATAGCTGGTTGGGAGAGCCATATGCTATGTGGTAGGACTGCTAAGTGGGGAGTTTTAAATGGGAGCTTCAGGTGGAAGGTCACAGGATGGCGATCGAGATTTCTCTGAGACCTTGCATATGAAGTAGTTTGTGCCAGGGTGAGTAGCAGCTGGGATGTATTTATTTAATAGGCGTCAGTGCTTGTCTCACCAAACTTGTAAACAGGTGGACGATAAGATTCTTGTGCTTTAGTTCTTCACCTTCCTGTTTGCAGTGTCTTCAGTTTGTTTCTCTCCCCTAGACCCTCAATTCCTTGAGGGCAAGTACCATTTCACTCCTTTTGCTGGACGTGCTGGGCCTTCAGTAACCAGTGAAAGAACAGAGTCAGGCAGTACCAAATTCAATCATTTACAAAATTGTCCTTGAGATTGGAATGAATGAATGAATACATGTGACTGCTTTTCTCTCGCTGATTTGCTGAGTATTCTCAACCATGTTAAGAGGTAAATTAACATGAAGGTTGATGGGTGATTGCTTATTTGATTATTTCCTGACTCTCTGGATGACTTCACTGTTCTATATTAATAGCCAGTATAGTAATATCTAAAATTGGCGGAATCACATTTTTAATTGTTTAATTCTAAATGTCACTGAGATCATTGCTGCTCCAGGGGTGAACCAAGGACGACAGCATTGACATCACATGGGAAATGCAGCCTCTCAGGCCCATCCTAGACCTAGTGAACCAGAATCTATATTTTAACAGGGTCCCCAGATGATTCATGCATGTTAACCTTTGAGAAGCTCTAATTTACAACTTGTAGTCTTCAGTTCGATCCCTTTCTTAAGGATCATGAATTTGTACGTGTGAGTACGTGTTAGTAGGTAGGTAGTGGAATATGTTAAGTCAACCTGATGCAGATGAGTTTTTAAACCACGTGCTAAAAGATGATGTTTGATTTTTGTATGCTCTTGATTCAACTGTGTGGTCTTTTATTCCAGGTCGCCATTTCCCCAAGCGTCCAAAGCATCTGCTTGTAGTGGAGGCAAAGTTTGATGGAGAGCAGTTGGCTACTGACCCTGTGGGGCACACCGACCAGCCAGAATTTGCTACCGAGTTAGCCTGGGAGATCGACAGGAAAGCCCTCCATCAGCACAGGTGACTCTTACTGTCCGTTCCTTCTGCTCTGTTTCTCTGGGCTCCTAGAGGTGAATAAATTCTTATCTTATTATAGTAACAATGATAATAATGTATGTTTAGTGCTTTCATCACGTGCCAGGAGATTTTTCAGAGTACTTGGCAGTGATAATTCACTTGAGCATTGGAAAAACCTATGAGGCGGGTGTTAGGATTTACCGCTAGTTCAGATGAGAAAACTGAGGCCCAAGAAGGGAAGTCACTTGTCATCTCTCAGTCAGGTGGATAGCACTAGAGCCCAGCCACTTGAGCTCTGGAGGGTACCTTTCTAACCTCTGCACCTCGCTACCCCCCCCCACCCCCCCAGCTGCCCCCTGATGTCTGAGAGAATAGATACTGTAGAAGGGAAGTGGCTATTCTAGAAGGGCTGTGATGATGCTTACCCAGTATTAAATAAGGGTTGGAATTCCTTGTAATTTCTGTCACTTCATTTATTATACACTTGACCTGGTTTGCCAACGATTTATAGAGATATGTATGTAGTAATTACAGAAGAGACTCTTTCTAGTTAGTTTTATACTTGATTTTATTTATTTATTTATTTATTTTTATACTTGATTTTAGACATAAGAACACTTGGTATCCGTACATAAAACATAAAACAGGCTTAAAGTTAGAATGTCTTATTTCATGGACCCAGATGATTAGAAATAGGCAAGAGGACAGATACTTATATTTTATAAGACATGAAAAGTATTTTTTGTTGTTTTTTTTTTGTTTTTCTGGGAAACACAAAATCACTTCATTCATTGCTGTGACTTAGGACTAGAGCAAATAAAATAGCAAAGTTAAAAAATGAATGTCAGGAGAAATTTTTTTCCTATGGCTAAATGAGTCCATGGATTTGTTTGGGGCATGTGAAAGGGTAATCAGTTCTTGGAGAAGATCAGAATTGTGTTTTCAGTGACTTCTGGAATAGTTTGTGATTTTTATGGCAGTTAATTCCTAAGGTCTTTTCATTATTTTAGTCACAAAAAGAGCTTTAAGCATATACATATATTTGTAGTTTTATGTGTGTATGTGACAGTAGAAGGAAAACATTTTGAAATCAGTCTTGAGGATTCATGGTAGTTTTTTACTTGAAAAGAGTTCTGTATATTACAGAAGCTTGAAAAACACTGCCCTAGACCATCTCCAATGAGAGAGACCAAGATTTTTGACGTGGTTTGAATATTACTTGGTATAAAGATAAATAGGCATAATTAATCATTGATGTCAGTTGGATTTTTCAGAAAATACAGTGTTCTGTTATTCAACAAAATTATAATATACTTTATAGTAGTGACCAGCTTTTTCGAAGCTAACAGAACATCAGTTCAGAATTAAGCAGGAGCTACGTTATCTCTAATGTGAGTTGTTACCTTACAGGTTGCAGCGTACGCCTATCAAACTGCAGTGTTTTGCCTTGGATCCTGTATCTTCAGCCAAGGAGACTATAGGTTACATTGTTCTAGACTTAAGAACTGCTCAAGAAACAAAGCAGGTAGTAGCCTTTGGATGTTTTCTTACTGATTCTGTTAGTTGACGGTTTTTAGTAGATACCAGATTGCTGAAAAGGCTGTGGAATAATGGACCTGAAAGGTTGGGGGAAGGGGAGGGTGGAGACAGTAGGGCACTTCTCAGGTTTCTGTCCCTTTGACCTAGAACTGTGTTTCTCAAAGAATGTTCTCTCTGAGCTCAAACATGTGGTCATGTTGCTGTTACCTGGAGCATTCACCTGCCAAGCTCTGCTTTTAGTGGTACTCCTCCTGTAGTGGTGACCCCTTCAGTGAGTGCTCCCTATTCCTCTTCCAGGCGTGCAGCCTAGAAGGCCAGGAGTCTTCCTCCACCCCTCCCTCTTCAACCTCTGCAGCCTTTTCCATTTGGTTTCAGGCCTCCAGCTGCCCCTTCCTGATTCAGGTACTCTTCTCCATTCTTACCATGGCCGTTGTGGCCGAAGCCACCATGATTTTCTAACGTGGCTGTGGTGGTAGCCTTCTGATCGCATTCTCTGTGTCCTGCTCCTTGCGTTCCTCCTGGAGCTGTCAGAGCACGTGAACTTCCTGGAGCGCTCTCAGATGACTGAAACAGCTCCCCCCACCCCGCCTTCACCACACATACACACACACACACACACACACACACACACGGAAAAAGAATTCAGGGTCTTGATTCCTAGCTCAGTGCTTTCTGTTACTGAAAATGTCTTTCTTCCATCTTCTTAAAATCTCTTGTCACTGACTTGGGAAGTGCTTCCTTTCAACTTTTGTTAATAACCTTCTTTTGTCACAACTCTCTTAAGAAGGTAAATACACACACACACTTGTCTTTTGAAGTCTTTTATTTTTTATTTATTTATTTTTTTAAGATTTTATTTATTTATTTGGCAGACCGAGATCACAGGTAGGCAGAGAGGCAGGCAGAGAGAGAGGAGGAAGCAGGCCCCCCGCTGAGCAGAGAGCCCAACGTGGGGCTCGATCCCAGGACCCCAGTCCGGGATCATGACCTGAGCCGAAGGCAGAGGCTTTAACCCACTGAGCCACCCAGGCCCGCAAAGACCTTTATTCTTGATTGGAATCCTAAATTAGGATTCTGTGAAGAAAATGGATCTGTTACCAACATTTTTGCTGTGGTAGTCATGATATTTACAAATGGGCCAGTTAGCTTAGCCCGAATTTGGAATCCTTGAGAAGAAACTGAAATTTTAAAATGTTTTAAAAAAGAATCTGTCTCGGGCGCCTGGGTGGCCCAGTTGGTTGAGCGACTGCCTTGGGCTCAGGTCATGATCCCAGACTTCCAGGATCGAGTCCCGCATCGGGCTTCCAGCTCCTTGGGGAGTCCCTTCTCCCTCTGACCTTCTCCTCTCTCATGCTCTTCTCTCACTCATTCTCTCTCAAAGAAATAAAATCTTTAAAAAAAAAAAAAAAAGAATCTGTCTCTCCTTTCTCTTTCGATACTCCTTCTCAGTTCTTTGTATCCAGTTCTGAAAAAAGTTTTCTCTCTCAAGTCTTAGCCCTGCAACCATGATTGTGCCCCTGATGTTTTACTTAACTAGCTTTACTACTTGATCTAGACACTTGTGCAGTGACTTTGGTTACAGAGAAAGTGAATTCTCTTAGGGGGAGGATACCTGAGAGGAGGTCATGCCCGTAAATGCTCTTGGCATTCTCTCCTCCCCCACCCCGGCCCCACTCCTGGTCCTATAGGACACTTTGTCCTCATAGTGATTTTTTATCTCTATCAATGTTAAAGAGAAATGTTTCAGAAGTAAGAGTTTTAGGAAACCCGGATGTTGTCTTGCTTATTCTCTTCTGTTTATTAGCAGAAATATTTGAATTGGTGAGTAGAATATATGAAGTTCAAAATAAATTGATTGTCCATAAATGAACATCCACACAGAAAAAAACAGATTTGTTATTCTAAGTTATGTAACAGAAAAATAGGTCATAAATTTTGAGTTGCTGAAACTCTTTCCTCAGGCTCATACTTAAAATGATGAAATATCTATCATAAAAAATACAGCACAAGACTCCTGAGTTTCTTTGCTTTTAACAAACCTTGGGTGTGGATTTTTTAAAGGCTGTGGCCTAGTTAGTCCTCTTTTATGGGTCACATGTAACTTGATACACAGCAGCAGCTTTTGCTTTTGATCTGTAAAAGCACCGGCTTCTATGGCTTTATGTAATGGTGGTCAAAGTAGGAGCGCCTTTCCGTGAACCACAGTGGTGCCCCTGCAGGAATGAAGCAGGAGGTCCTGGGCCATGATGGCGCTGGCTGACTTGAGTTATAGACTGCTCACCAGTACTAGAATAATCAAGGATCCTTGATTCTCTGAGAAAGACTTTGTGTTTCCATCAAGTGCATGGTTTGTAACCCAGCCCTCTGCCTCAGGTCTCTGCTTTAGTATTGTGTTAGTGTTTTTTGTTACCACTAGCTTTCCTTTTCCCTCATTTGATACATGCAGAATGAAGCAGAGAGGGGGTCAGGCAGCAGAGGTATGCCAGAGAAAATGAAAAATGAGGGTTTAGGGAAATGGGAAATTGGTAGTCGAAACTACTTATTTTTTTTCCAAGAGGAAGTTCAGTTAGCTTCCCAAGCAGGATTAAAGTCTTTGGAGGAAAATGAAAAATATTTTAAAAGAGGACAAAGTACTGCGGAAGGACAGGGGATATATTAGGAACCTAATAGAATGCTGCCTACTCTCGTTGATTACCTATTAATGATTAAGGTGGTTTTGTTGTTTGTTTACTCTCCAGGCTCCAAAATGGTACCAGTTGTTGAGCAATAAATACACCAAGTTCAAGACTGAGATACAGATAGGCATTGCTTTGGAAACAGATACAAAGGCCCCAGTGGATAGTTTTAAAGCCAAAGGAGCCCCCCCTCGAGATGGAAAAGGTTTGTGCATCATCTCTACAGTCATTCTCCAAAAAGTTGTAACTGGGGACTGGGACTTGAGGAATGGTGAGTGGCATGATAGGAAAACACACTCGGGAGTGGACTGATTTTACTGTAGTGCATCACACACTTTTTGAGATTGCTAAACATGCAACTCTTGCTGCTCTAAGCTCTTGTTTACAAAACCAAGAAATAGAACAAGAGTTTCTTTTATGTGGTCTATAACAGAAGAAAGCAGAATTTTGTTTTCTTAAAAATCGATAGGAAAATTTTCTCCTAGGATGAGTGTAGGAAAGCCAAAAACACACACTGTTCTCTTTTCCCTCACCTATTAATCGCACCTTCATATTTTTTTTAACTAAATAAACTCTTTCTTATAGAGCATTTTGAGGTTCACAGCAAATTGAGTGTAAATTCAGAGTGTTGCCGCATTCCCTGATCTCCCTGTCACGCAGCCCCCCGCTGTCACCATCCCTCACCAGAGGGGAACACTTGGTAAAATTGATGAACCAACATTAACAATCACCCAAAGTCCATAGTTGATACTAGGATTTACTTACGGTGTTTGTATTACAGTCTATGAGTTTAGGCAAATGTGTAATGACACCCATCTGCAATTGTAGTATCCTACAGAAGACTTTCACTGCTCTAAAAATTGTCTGCTCTGCTTCTCCCTCCTGCCAAACTGGCAAACACTGTTGTTTTGTTTTGTTTAATTGTAGGATAGTTGACATAAATGTCCTATTAGTTTCAAGTGTACAATACAGTGGTTTGACAAGTCTGTTCCTTACACTGTGCTCGTAAGTGTAGAAACCCTCTGTCGCCATACAAGCCTATTTCAATCCCATCACTGTATTCCCTGTGCTGTTCCTTTTGTCCCCACGACTGACTCGTGCCATAACTGGAAGCCTGTACCTCCCACTCTCCTTAATGCAGTTTGCCCTCCCCTCCCCCTGGCAGCCATCAGTTTTGTTCTCTGTGTATTTATAGATACGATTCTGCTAGGAATATATTTTGCATCATCTGCTGACAAAGACTGTTTTATGTCTGTACTCCCGCTCAGCATGCCTTTGTTTCCTTTGTTTATCTTACCTTATTAGCCGGGACTTGCAGTATGATGCGAAGAAACACTGAGGAAAGGGGATATCCTTACCTTGTTCCTGTAGGTTTTTTTGTGGACATTTTTCATCAAATTAAGGAAGTTCCTCTCTATTTGTAGTTTGCTTAGGGTTTTTTATCAGTACTGAGTGTTGGATTTTGTCACGTGTTTTTTCTGCATCTTTTGATGCCATCGTGTGGTTTCTTTAGCCTGGTGATGTGAGGGATCAGAGTAACAGATTTTCCAGTGTTGAACTAGCTTTGTATACCTGAGCAAAATCACATTTGGTTGTGGTTCATATTTCTTTCTTTCTTTTTTTTTTTTTTAACTATTTTTATTAACATATAATGTATTATTTGCCCCAGGGTACAAGTCTGTGAATCATCAGGCTTACACATTTCACAGCACTCACCATAGCATATACCCTCCCGAATGACCATAACCCCATCACTCTATCCCTACCCCCACCCCCCCAGCAACCCTCAGTTTGTTTTGTGAGATTAAGAGTCTCTTATGGTTTGTCTCCCTCCAGATCCCATCTTGTTTCATTTTTTCCTTCCCTATCCCCCACAAGCCCCCCCGCCTCTCAAATTCTTCATATCAGAGAGATCATACGGTAATTAACTTTCTCAGATTGACTTATTTTCGTTCAGCATAATACCTTCTAGTTCCATCCATGTCATTGCAAATAGCAGGATTTCATTTCTTTTGATGGCTGCATAGTATTCCATTGTATATATATACCACATCTTTTTATCCATTCATCTGTTGATGGACATCTAGGCTCTTTCCATCGTTTGGCTGTTGTGGACATTGCTGCTATAAACATTCAGGTGCATTTGCCTCTTCGGATCACTACATTTGTATCCTTAGGGTAAATACCCAGTAGTGTGATTGCTGGGTCATAGGGTAGCTCTGTTTTCAACTTTTTGAGGAACCTCCATGCTGTTTTCCAGAGTGGCTGCACCAGCTTGCATTCCCACCAACAGTGTAGGAGGGTTCCCCTTTCTCCGCATCCTCTCCAACATGTCTTTTCCTGACTGGTTAATGTTAGCCATTCTGACTGGTGTGAGGTGGTATCTCACTATGATTTTGATTTGTATTTCCCTGATGCTCAGTGAAGTGGAGCACTTTTTCATGTGTCTGTTGGCCATCTGGATGTCTTCTTTGCAGAAATACCTGTTCATGTCTTCTGCCCATTTCTTGATTGGATTATTTGTTCTTTGGGTATTGAGTTTGATAAGTTCTTTATAGATTTTCGATATTAGCCCTTTATCTCCTATGTCATTTGCAAATATCTTCTCCATTCTGTCAGTTGTCTTTTGGTTTTGTTGACTGTTTCCTTCACTGTGCAAAAGCTTATGATCTCGATGAAGTCCCACTAGTTCATTTTTGCCCTTGCTTCCCTTGCCTTTGGTGATGTTTCTGGGAAGTAGTTGCTGTGACTGAGGTCAAAGAGGTTGCTGCCTCTGTTCTTCTCAAGGATTTTGATGGATTCCTGTCTCACATTGAGGTCTTTCATCCATTTAGAATCTATTTTTGTGTGTGGTGTAAGGAGATGGTCTAGTTTCATTCTTCTGCATGTGGCTGTCCAATTTTCCCAACACCATTTGTTGAAGAGACTGTCTTTTTTCCATTGGACATTCTTTGCTGCTTTGTTGAAGATTAGTTGATCATAGAGTTGAGGGTCCATTTTGGGGCTCTTTCTTCCATTGATGATCTATGTCTGTTTTTGTGCCAGTACCATACTGTTTTGATGGTTACAGCTTTGTAATAGAGCTTGAAGTCTGGAATTGTGATGCCACCAACTTTGGTTTTCTTTTTCAACATTCCTTTGGCTATTTGGGGTCTTTTCTGGTTCCATATAAATTTTAGGATTATTTGTTTCACTTCTTTCAAAAAAAATTGATGGTATTTTGATAGGGATTGTGTTAAATGTGTAGATTGGTTTAGCTAGCATAGATATTTTCACAGTATTTGTTCTTCCAATCCATGACCATGGATTCCATTTCCTTGTGTCTTCCTCAGTTTCTTTCATGAGTATTTTATAGTTTTCTGTGTACAGATTCTTTGCCTCTTTGGTTAGGTTTATTCCTAGGCATCTTCTGATTTTGGGTGTAATTGTAAATGGGATTGACTCAATTTCTCTTTCTTCTGTCTTGCTGTTGGTGTATAGAAATGCAACTGATTTCTATGCATTGATTTTATATCCTGACACTCTCCTGAATTCCTGTATGAGTTCTAGCATTTTTGGAGTGGAGTCTTGGGTTTTCCACATAAAATATAATATCATCTGCAAAGAGTGAGAGTTTGATTTCTTTGCCGATTCGGATGCCTTTTATTTTTTTTTGTTGTCTGATTGCCGAGGCTAGGACTTCTAGTACTGTGTTGAATAGCAGTGGTGATAGTGGACATCCCTGCTGTGTTCCTGACCTGGGGGAAAACAGAGCTTTCCCCCATTGAGAATGATATTCGCTGTGGGTTTTTCATAGATGGCTTTGATGATATTGAGGTATGTACCCTCTCCCTACATTTTGAAGAGTTTCGATCAAGAAAGGATGCTGTACTTTGTGAAATGCTTTTTCAGCATCTGTTGAGAGTATTCTATGGTTCTTGTTCTTTCTTTAAATAATGTATTGTATCACACTGATTGATTTGCAGATGTTGAACCAACCTTGCAGCCCAGGAATAAATCCCACTTGGTCCTGGTGAATAATCCTTTTATTTTTTTATTTTATTTTTATTATTTTTTTTAAAGATTTTATTTATTTGACAGACAAGTAGGCAGAGGGAGAGATGAGGAGGAAGGCTCCCAGCTGAGCAGAGAGCCTGATGCGGGGCTCGATCCCAGGACCCTGGGATCATGACCTGAGCCGAAGGCAGAGGCTTTAACCCACTGAGCCACCCAGGCGCCCCCTTGAATAATCCTTTTAATGTACTGTTGGATCCTAATTGGCTAGTATTATGGTGAGAATTTTCACATCCGTGTTCATCAAGAATATTGGTCTGTAATTCTCCTTTTTGATGGGGTCTTTGTCTGGTTTTGGGATCACGGTAATGCTGGCCTCATAAAATGCGTTTGGAAGTTTTCCTTCCATTTTTTTTTTTAAACAGTTTCAGGAGAATAGGTATTAATTCTTCTTTAAATGTTTGATAGAATTCCCCTGGGAAGCCTTCTAGCCCTGGGCTCTTGTTTTTTGGGGGATTTTTGATGATTGCTTCAATCTCCTTACTGGTTATGGGTCTGTTCAGGTTTTCTATTTCTTCCTGGTTCAAGTTTGGTAATTTATATGTCTCTAGGAATGCATCCATTTCTTCCAGATTGTGAAACTTGCTGGTATATAGTTGCTTATAGTATGTTCTTATAGTTGTTTGTATTTCTTTGCTGTTGGTTATGATCTCTCCTCTTTCATTCATGATTTTACTAATTGGGGTCCTTTCTCTTTTCTTTTTGATAAGTCTGGCCAGGGGTTTATCAATCTTATTCTTTTGAAGAAGCAGCTCCTAGTTTCATTGATTTGTTCTACTGTACTTTTGGTTTCTATTTCATTGATTTCTGGTCTGATCTTTATGATTTCTCTTCTCCTGCTGGTTTTAGGCTTTCCTGGCTGTTCTTTCTCCAGCTCCTTTAGGTGTAGGTTAGGTTGTATACTTGAGACCTTTCTTGTTTCTTAAGAAAGGCTTGTATCACTATATACTTTCCTCTTAGGACCGTTTTTGCTGTGTCGCCAAGATTTTGAACAGTTGTGTTTTCATTTTCATTTGTTTCCATGAATTTTTTCAATTCTTCTTTAATTTCCTGGTTGACTCATTCATTCTTTAGTAGGATGCTCTTTAGCCACCATGTATTTGAGTTCTTTCCAACTTTCTCTTGTAATTGAGTTCTAGCTTCAGAGCACTG